AAGATGGAATGAATAAATCGGAGAACTCTTCCACGAGGAAAGTGGAAAAACAGCAATACACAAATATATGGAAGGACAAAAATATTAAAAACTGAATGAAATCATTGGTCAAATTAAACAGGAACAAAGCAGCATGACTGAATGGAATTGCAATTATGCTGGTAGCCGTAGATGATATTAGCATTGACAAATGTAGATCCATTTTCATAGCGCTGCCTCAGAAGCCAAGTACTAACGAATGCGAATTCCATCGGACAATCTTCCTAATGAGCCAAATAACAAAACTAATCATCCAAATCTTGATGAATAAAGCGCGCAGCAGAATTAGACCCGAAAAGTACAAGAATAGTGTGGTTTTGTTAAAACACTGGAACACAGAATGCAATATTTATATCTAAAATGGTAACAGAATTAGCAAGACAAATGTAAAAGGATGTATATCTATTTTTTATTTAATGAGGTATGTCATGAAGAAATGTTTGAACTGTTAGGTAAACTTCATTTTTTTTAGGAAAGCTATGAGAATAATCCAGAACTTATAGTGGGAGCAAACCATCTGCACACGGAAAGAAAATGAATTCCTTAAACGCACAAAAATAGAAAGGGGAATGAGACAAGGGTGTATTTTCTCACCGGAACTATTCAACCTTTATAATGAGGCGACCATTATAAGCTCTACCTGGACGTTAGGCGGACAGTTGCGTCTCGGACAATTCCCTACTAGATAATTACGTCAATGGACATTTGCGTCCCGAGACAAATGCCTCCCTGGATAATTGCGTACCTCTGATAATTTTTTGAAGTTACCCTTTTTTAAAAGAGTTGTTTAATATAGAAATTTGTACACCAATACATTTAATTACTCTAAACAAGCAGAAAGGTAGTTACCATAAATAAAAAAAGAGAGAAAGGATTATTTTTAAAGCAAGAAAATGAGACTAGCATTTTCAGTTTACTCCAGCAGTGCGTACCACAAAGCATCTAAGAGATTCTGGATTTTATAGATTATATTTTTATTTGGAACCCATGGCTAAGTTCCGAAAATCAAACATTGGTGGAAAAATATTTGTGGATGTGAAAAATTACAGCTACCACTATCTTAAGAAAAAACGCCGATGAAACAAAAACGTACTGGCGATGTGTAGAATGATCTTGCAACACTGTTAATCTATCATTGCATTTTAAACAAAAATTAACTTTTATTTTTTTTAAATTTTATTTCTTTTTTTTTTAAATGTATGATTACTACCTATGCTTTTATTCAAAATTTATGGTAAGTGCTTTTAAAAGCTCCAAAAATTATCAGAGGTGCGCAATTATCCAGGGACACACTTCCATGTCGACCAAGTCATAATTTCCAAAATGTTGTTCACTTTTAATGACTTGAGGTAATTTTGACATAATTTAGAAAAGTGTTTTGAATCATTGTCTTGTTGAAAGGTGAACTTTTTTTCCCAATTATGCGCAAACCAGATGATATAGCATGTCTGAGCAAAGTAGAATGATATTATTCTTTTTTCATGATTCTCTTGACTTGAATCAAATCTCTAGCCCTCTCCCCCCCCCACCAAACACCCTCACAGCTTAACAGAACCACCATCCATTAAGGTCACATACAGCTTTGAATTCAGAATTGTCCTTCTCCTATACTGGTTGTCAATTACAGCTAGGGAGTTCAGTCTCCTGTTATTTAACCAATAGCTAGGAGTAGCAGAGATTAATCCATACCTTTCCGAAGGATATTTATGCGAAAGTGAATATATATATATATACAGGGTGTGATGGGTAAATTGTCGCTATTTTGTATTTTTAATTTCGCGCATGCGCGTTGTTACTTTTTGATTTTGTCGACTGCACAGTGTAGTAAGGTCAGTTGGGCACCGTCTGTGAGAAAAAGAGCACCATGAGGCAATTCACTCCCCGAGACATTTGGAAACGGTATGCTGTACTGCTTGGCATTCGCGCCGGAAACTCCAATACGAACATTTCAGAGTGTTTGGGTGTCAATCTGAGGACTCAACACGGAGGCCTACATCAAGTGCTTTGAAGAGTTAGTGCTGCTGTTTTATCAGGAACACAGTTCTTTAAGAGGCATTTGAACTCATAGATAATGTTGGTTCGCTGTAATTTTAATTTTGCTGGTGTATTGTTACTTTTGAGGATAAGGTTAGCTGTTTTAAATCTTTTGTAGTAGATGATTAGAGTTTTTGTTCGTGTCAATTAGTGTAGTGTATTTCTTTATGATATTTCTAAGTAAAGATTTATCTTGATTCTAATTGACGTGCATTTGGCTTTTGTAGAAAAAAATTATGCTATTTTTGACTTTATTCCCTGTCATTATTATTTACTTTGGAAAGAAATAGTCAAATTTAGTGGTCAGGGAAGCCATTGTTAAGTTCTTTAAGGAAAAGTAGACGAGAGGATGAATTCTGGTGTGAGCTTTTTAGAATGTTTTTTTTTCCTTTTTTTTAACACGTCTATTTGCTTCAAACCGAACTCATAAATAATTACATCGGCCATACAATTAGATACCTATCCAGACGGCATACCTTATACCTATCCTACAGCTCCATTAGAACCCATTTAAACACACACATAAACTTACCAGACTCCATCCGAAACATACTAGTAGAAAATACAAACATAACAATCTCAATGATCCAACTCAGCTTACCGGTTTCCCGGCCCGTGCCTCTAACCATTACACCACCCGGCAATTCATTCTGCTCAGTAACACGAGTAAAATAAAATTATATATAAAAAAATTAAAACAACAACTGAAGATTTAATCACGTTAGTTGTACAAAAAGCAAGGAAAATATGAAAATAAAGTTTTTAAAAAGATAAAAAAAAAGAAGACAAAAAATGTTAAGGTCAATCATTGATCATGAATTCAGTTCGTTTTCTATTGCACACAGCTTCCGGAAGTTACAGTGTATTATCTCCCCATTAGACACCTGCTTCCGGTGTAGTCGACGGCACGGCTATTAAATCAGCGGCAAGCTAACGGCGCGTCCCCGATTATTAATGCGTGAAACACAATACTGGTTCCTGTTTCGTGCTGTCAATGTTGCATTAACAAAGACAATGGTTTTATTTGAAGAAGAGAAAAATAGCAGCAGTAGTAGGAGGAGTAACATAAAGAGTTAGATTACTGGAACGGAGTTCAGTGTTGGCTTCGCGGGAGTGGGTGAGGAAGTGGGGGCTAAACAAAAGAGGATGAGTGTGTTTCTAAAACGAAATGAATGTAAATAGACAGTGAATGAGTACTTTCGTCTTCTTGCCTGAAAGTCTAGGAAGAAGGGAGCGATTTATTGAAAGCAAGATTAAAAAAAAAATAGTTGAACAGAAAAAGATGGAAGAAAAGAAGGCAGGAAGTGAAGAATGAAAGAAATAAAAAGTCTGAGAGCGATTATATATTTTATGCTTCTTTGTTGATTGACGAAACTTGATAGCGTCGACAACTTTCTTTTTTTTTGTTCTTTGCTCCTCCCGTAATTATTCGACAGAACAATAGCAACCACGACGACGACGACTGCACCATGGCCGCAAACCTTTTTTTTTTCATTCTGTATTGTTATTTTCAAGAATTATTTTGTCATTGCCTCATAAGCTGCGCGGAATTAGCTTTATGATTTTTTTTTTGCCTGCAGGTAAAAATTCTATTTGTATCAACAGCTACTTCATTTCGGGCGTTTCGCCGTGGAGCAGTGTTTTGTTAGCCCGTCTGAACGTGTAATTTCTCTGCAATGAGTTCGATTTTATGAAACAAGTATCTCTGCATTTTTATTAATACTCATTTGGACACACATATGTGATTTGTAATCAAATATGGATTCGAATCTGACAGAAAGATAGAATAAGGAAGAAATAGGAAACATTTATAAATTTAACATGTTTCCCTTTTCATGACGCCGAAAAATGCTAAATTTATAGTGATTTAGTAAGCGTAGCATAGACGTGGCACAACGTCGCAAGTATGGAACACCTAGTTTGAACCGAACTTACTATTCAGGCGTGACTTGATCTATGTCGTTGCGGCATTCTAAATTTATAAACGTTTCCTATTTTTCCTTATTCCATCTTATATATATTATATATATATATATATATATATATATATATATATATATATATATAATATATAATCCGTTGGTATATAATGCAAGTGAATCCTAATAGTATAAAATATTAAAACTGATCCACAAAAAGAGCTCAATGTATTTATTATAACAGATTCTAGTAATATATATTCTATATATATATATATATATATATATATATATATATATATATATATATATATATATGTGTGTGTGTGTGAAATTATCTAGTTGCTTGTTTCTTCGAACATTTTAGGATAATCTGTTAGCCGTTTTCAAGGGTCTAGGTAGGGCTATTGCGAATGATGTGTGAGTGGTAGATATAATTTTAAATTCTCGAATAGTGCCAGTACATTACAGCCGTGTTTGTAGTTGATGTTAAGGGGCGTTTTTTATTTTTTTATAAGTTTGCGAAAATTTATAAGATTTATGATATATTTTATAAAATTCATAAGATGCTAAAGGTTTTTTTTTTAATTTTTTTTTTTTTAATTTAAAAAAAAAAATTTCTTTTTATTTTTTATCGGTGCTTCCATTATTTTATATGGTTTTTGCAATTAGAAGCACGTTTCTCGTGTGTTGTACTGAAGTTGGTAAGTTCTCATGCTGGTTTAAATTAGTCCTTTAAGAACTGTGGTCTGAGCGATGGATACTCAGACGTCTCGATAAGCGAGTGGTAATATGTTTCACATAACTGCTTATGAATTTTTTTTCCCCGTTAAGAACGCAGTTCCCTATGAAACATTTGAATTGATGAATAATCTTCGTCTTATATCATATTGATTTCACCGGCGATATTGACTGTTTTAAACTTGTAATTAATAATTAACCTGACGTTTTAATATGTTCAACTGAAGCATTGCATTGTAAAATAATAATCCTTAAAGCGAATTCGCTTACGGCGACAACACTTTGAAACACCGGATCCGTATGTTCACCGATGTTAAGACACGTCAAGCCTGGTTAGTACCAAGATGGGTGACCGCTTGGGAATATCAGTTACTATAAGCTTAGATGCAAGGTTGGTGTAATTAATAATAGCTCGGAATTGTTAACCGGAGTGCCGAGATCCAATTCCAGTCGGGTTCGTTATATTTCGGCAAAGGTATAAATCCACCTTTTCTCTACACAGTCATTGTTTAATTAGCAAGACTTGTTTCACTAAAACCATTATTATTTCAAAAATAAATAAATAAATAAAATAAAAAATGCGTTGTTTGTAATTTATGTTAATCTATTTTCGATAAAATATATTAATATTATTATGATTACCTCTGTGAAATTAATTATTGTTGCTTAATTTTAAAAGAAACAACTTGATTTGGCTGCCTATAACGTAGTTGGGGAAACCGTTGTTGACTAGTGTGTGTTAAATCAGGCGTGGCTGACCACACATGGAGGAAAAAAAGATCATCGCCCCCTGTAGGATGAAGTTGAATTAATAGACAGAGAACATCACAGGAAAATACGAAAACTTAAGGAATCAGCGCATATGCTAGGCCACAAAAATCTCCTAAACTGGCCAAGCATAGGCGTAAATACAATATAGGAAGCAGTAATATGGGCAAAAACAATAATAACATCAAATTATGGGCTCTGGTAAAAATGGTTACAGAGACATTAGATTTATAAGTTCCCAAAATTCATGCAATGATGATCTCAAGTGGATAAAAGCATTGGTTGGATCCAGTGACTTGACTCAAATAACTGTGAAAGAGTTGTGTGTTCAATACCTAGCCACAGCAGGAGAGTTGAATTTAAAGGGAGATAACTGATACTGTGATATCCCAAATCAATCCATCCCGGTAGATGAAATAAAGCGTTTGATCTGGAAATTCCAATCCCCTGAAGAAGCGTACAATTGAAATCTGTCAACAAAGTTGATGACAACAGTTCGAACAATATATATATATATATATATATATATATATATATATATATATATATATATATATATATATCTTATTATAAAACGCAAATTGTGTGTGTGTGTGTGTGTCTGTACGTTTATATATTGGATCGGATTTCCTACATTTTTCAACCGATTTCAACAAAACTTTTTGGCAGGTAGTGTTTCTTATTGTCTTGCAAACTTTTTTCTTTATTTTTTACATTCAGAATGCTTTAAAAATTCCATTTACAAGACAATTGTTTATAATAAAATTCTATTCAATCGATAGACTCATAACGATTGAAAACAATGTTTTTGTTTGAGTTTGGGTTTGACCAATTCGTAAAAAAAAAACAAAAAACAAAAAAAAAAAAAACAAAACAAATTAAGACATGCGTGTCTGTCAACCTTAAACAATTAATCTTTGTCAATTTTATTTTTCAGTCTTTATGATGGTCGATACTTGATCTGTCTGTTACTGTTACATCCCCAGGCAACGCCGGGCTCTACTACTAGTATATATATATATATATATATATATATATATATATATATATATATATATATATATATATATATATATATAATATAAAATGTAACTAAACTCGGTGGGTGAAAAACCTGGATAGCGCAATTTTCAGACAAATTGACATTCGAGGAAAAAATTGGTATGAAAAAGAAGAAAGAACCAGAAACCTCCGAACAGGGCGAAAGAAATCTTCCAGTACCTTAAATTTCTGGTACAAAGAAAAAAAAACACAGCCGGCCAGTAATAAGTTAAAACGAAGAGTGGTCAGTGCACTAAGTAGAGCAAAGGTAAAGGCACCTTGCTAACGGAACGCTCCTCTGTGGCCGAAACGGTTAAGGCACGCCAGGCTATATGACGGTTCCGTATAGGATACAGGTTCGATTCCAGTCGGAGGACGAAAATTTCAAAATGAAAATTTCTCGGACATTCAGTCCGGTAAATGTTGTTTAATACTGTTTATTATAAAAACAGAGCATTTCCTTAAATATTTGTATGTATAAACATAAAAATGTCTTAAAAGAATTGTCGGACTTTGTCCATTTAATAATTAATATATATATATATATATATATATATATATATATATAATCAATAGTCTTTTATCTCCATCTGTACTCAAATATTATTCTCATTATTCACATTCTGACTATAGTCCTGATCTTTGTTTTTATCAATGTTTCAAAGATGAGGACAATAGTTCGAATGTAAATAGTGTAAATAATGATAACTCGTCATCGTAGAAATTCAAACAAAAACTCTTAATCTTGCAGGTTGAATAACTTTCTCAGAATAATTTACCCCCCCCTTAACTCAGGTCTCATTGGGAATGATAATAATAATAATAATAATAATAATAGTAATAATAATAATAGTTGTCCACACGTATTCAAGGATACCTATCTACTAGGGCGGCTAGCCAATCCCTATTGCAGACGCCCGCTCAGGCACATTTCTGTTTGTTCAGCACCCACAGAGCCCACCTGTGTTTTATGCAGCAACTATGCTGAGTAGACCTTAGTTTCCGGGAGAGGGAACGTGTTATCTAGTGTGATCAACAATCTGAAAAAGGCCAGCACCTTCAAACCCTCGGTCACGATGACTTGTGACTTCATGCTAGTACAGCCATCGACGGTCCCCAAGGGTTCTGTCTATCAAATTTCACTCACAAGGCTTGGGTCAATTCGTGATATGGCTTTCAGGCACTTTCCAAAGGCCCGCACGCTGAGATCGCCCCCTTCCAGACCGATAAACAACAGGAAGTCTCCTTGCTGACAACTAGGCCATTGTGAGATTCGAACCCGGGTCTCATGGTCAGAAAGCGAACGTTCTAACCACTCGTCAATAATAATAATAATAATAATAATAATAATAATAATAATAATAATAATAATAATAATATTAATAATGTACCTGAATGACCCTTTCCTGCCTATCATCAGTATGGCTGATACTAACTTCCAAGTAAATGACTCGTTACGCCTTCTTGGGTTTACATTCTTGATTGACATGGAGTGGAAAGACTATATTGAATTCATTGCTAGGACTGCTGCTCAAAAAGTTGCTTCACAGTGTCGTGGTAGACATTTTTTTCTCTCCAGAATCTATTTTGCATATTTATAAGTCTACCATTCGTTCATGCTTCGATTATTGCTTGCACATATGTTTCCGTACTCTTGCTGTATATTTAGAGATTCTTGATAATATTCAAAGAAGAATCAGCAATATTATTGGTCCTGACCTAGCGACTCGGCTTCAGTCACTTCTCAACGTCTTTCTGTAGCTTCCTTGTAACTTTTCTATAAATACTTTCAGGGTAATTGTTCGGATAAACTCTTCGTCTAAACTTTATCAATTTAAGCGCAGTACTAGACTGGCGGCAAGGTCTCATCAATTCACTGTTGAATTGGTTAGATATAACCGTAAGTTCTATACAGTTTCTTTTCTCGCACTTTTCGCTTGTGGAACTCACTTCCGGCTTCTTACTACCCAGCCAACTTTGATCTTAAAAAATTTAAATGCAATGTCAATCGTTATCTACTGTCTTCTTGATTACTCTTCTATCGTTCTCACTTCTTAATAACGTTTCTCTTTTTTCTTATTCTTTCACACTTAGTAACCTCTTGTGTCTTAGTGGCTTTACTGCCTTGCGTGAGGTGATAAGATTTTAAAAAAAAAGCCAAATATCATGCGGATAGTATTTTTAAGTTTGAAGGATGAGGCAGCGTAGACGACTTGGGCAGTCAAATCTAGATACTTTGGAAGATCCTAAAGCAGAAACCGTCTGAGCTGAGTGGGTGAGATGACATGATGATACTTTTAACTGGATCCCATCACAAGAGTTTTTATTTATTATTATTTATTCCTTTGAACCTGAGCCGCTGGTATACTGACCGCCGGTATACCCAGGCGGCCAGTATACCACCCAGAGTCACAGATACCAGAGATAGACAGCAAAGACCCAGGATGAGATATCCGTACTCATCAAAGGTAACGTTCAAAGTGTTAAGTTTGAAGGATGAACCAGCCTAGGAGTTAAATTTAGATAACTAGAAACACTGTCAACCGGAAACCGACTGAGGGGATTGTGTTATCCGACCTGAAGATATTTTTAACTTGGTCTCGCCTACAAGTTTATGTGCTGCTTTTATCAAAACCTGTCAGCCTATCGCACGGTTGTGATGTATTGATTCCCAAGTAGGCATCTACGCGGACGACACTACAGTTTACTCCTGCCTCAAAAACAAATCTAGTGTCGCTGAAAAAACTAACCTGGCCATTCGTCTCGAAAAGGACCTCCAATCGGTTGTGGACTGGGGCAGGAATTGGCTGGTTAACTTTAACGCCTCTAAAACAAAACTACTCTCTATTAATCACCACAGAGATCCTTCCCTGCACCCCATTAGAATGTTTGACGCTCAACTTCCCGAGAGCACCTCTCTGCAGCTGCTCGGTCTCACCTTGTCTACTGACCTGAGTTGGAACAAATACATTGAGTCAATTGCTTCGTCCGCCGCAAGGAAAGTTGGCTCCCTGTGCCGCGCCAGGAAATTTTTCTCCCCGGAATCGATCCTTCAAATCTACAAATCAACCATTCGCCCTTGCATGGAATATTGCTGCCATATATGGTCTGGAGCCCCTTCTGTTTGCCTCGGGGTTCTTGATAAGATCCAGAGACGGATATGCAATATAATTGGCCCTGATCTGGCATCTCATCTGCGGTCACTTTCTCACAGTCACGCCGTCGCCTCTCTCTGTCTTTTTTTACAAATATTTTCATGGTAATTGCTCCGATGAGCTGCTTTCGCTTGTTCCCAGACTTCGCGAATTCAAGCGCCCTACGAAGCTAGCATGCCGCTCTCACCCTTTCACTGTTGAAACTGTTAAATGTAGCCGCCTCTTCTATTCCAATAGCTTCATATCTCGCACCTCTCGCCTGTGGAACTCACTTCCCTATTGCTGTTTCCCTGATAGCTATAATCTCCAACTATTCAAATGTAATGTCAATCGACATCTGCAGTTACCTTGATCTATCCACTATCCTTCTCCTCATCCTTTCCTCTATCATTCCTACCTGCTCTCGCTCCAAATCTTCTATAACCCCTTGCCTGCTAGTGGCTTCCCGCCTTGCTAGGGGTGAAATGCTTAAAAAATATATCTGGTATATTCTTATCAAGCTGGATGTCATAATATATATATATATATTGGACCTTTTATTTTAATCATTTCAACCCCACCCAAGCAAGACTATAATGCCACTATATGCGCTATGGGTTGCTTTAGGTAACAGAAAATGAGAAAACTTTAGAAGACCCTGGGAATCCAATCGTAAACAGAAATCAAGGGATAAACTTCTACTCCTGTTCAAGAGACGGGGAAAGAGTGTGAAACGGCGATAGGCGAACCTATCTGCTTCTGGTGTCCGTTATCAAATGTACCCATGGCGGTAAAGTCGTGGAGGAGGGTCCAGACTGAATGCGACCAACCCGGAATCTACACGATCTCAACGGTCAAACAAGGCGGAAGAGGGCAGCGTCAGGCGTGCTGGCGTAACAAAGTCGGACCTTGACAGACTAAGCATCCGACAGATCTCGCCCGCCTAAACCCCCTTTGAGTCGCGAGGGAGGTGCGTCTGGGTAAGGGTGCGGGCTTCTCCGTCGCACAGATATGACCTTTTTTTTCTTGACATGCGTGATACGCACTTAGGCGATCATGTACCTTTCGATACATGACTGACGAGGCAGATTTTTTTCCCGCAATAGATTGCCATTTATTTCTGCGGTAGACCAGTTGCCATCCAAGGCTATAGAACCCGCTCTGTCCTGCTATTTACCCATAGCTTGGGGAGATAAGAAGAGGATTCATACCATTCCCAAGGGTATTAGCACGTAAGTAAATGTAATGGATTCGACTGAAATTCGAAATCGGCTCTCAGATGCCTCAATCCGAGCCACTATGAAAAATCAAAGTCAAGTATGAAAACGAGGCTTAAAAATAACATTAGTTTTTAATTCATTACAGCAAAAGCCATACATTTTAATATGTATGGCTTTTGCTGTCATATATTAAAAACTAAATGGCAAGAGAAAACGTGCTTCCTAAAATCAAATTCACGTGAATGGCCGCGTCCAACTCTTCTATTTGACTACATTTCAGGAGTAGGCTGGCCTTCACAGCCATCTACACTATCTCCACCAGAGGAGAGAAAGGGAACGAGATGATGATTTTTATTTAATAATTTCACCCCCAAGCAAGGCGAAAATGCCACTAAGACGCAAATGGGGTAACTGCAAGTGAAAGAAAATGAGAAAACTTTAGAAGGTCTTAGAAGCCCAATCCTAAACAGAAATCAAGCGATAATCCTTTGTTCCTTTTCAAGAGACGAGGAAGGAATTTAAACTGGGCGGTAGGCGAACTTATCTACTCCTAGTGTCACTTTATTGGCGTGCTTCTCTCTTACTCAACAATAAATATTGAGTTTAATACCGACGAACTGAGATAGCTTGTTGTCACTTGATTTCTAATAAAAACCACCAAACGTTGGTGTGAAATTGTCATAATCCTAGTCATAAAGGAAGGTACAAGTAAGAGCTAAAATGCAGATATTTGGTTTTAGATGGCAGCCATTATAAATAACCTTTTGTAAACGGGGTCAGGAAGGAAAAAAATGGTTGTAATTTTCTTTAACTCCCATAAGACCTGTCCTTTCTGAGATGATCCTATAACAGTCACCGAAAGCACATATTGTTTTTCTCTTGTCATTAGTTTTTAATACATTACAACAAAACCCATTCATATTAAAATCTCACGTTATTTTTAAGCCTCGTTTTCATACTTGACTTTTGCTTTATCATTCTCTTAATTTTGTCGCCATGTTTTTCCTGGGATTCATTTTTTTAATTCAGTAGTTTTGTTCTCTCTTACATCATTTCTTCCTTTGTATTTAAAGTTTACTTCTCGTCTTTCGTTTCACTTTATATTTCACTCTACTACACTTTCTTTCTTTCTTTCTTTCTTTCTTTCTTTCTTTCTTTCTTATGGCATTTTTTCAACGACATTATTTTGCAATTTTCTTTCTTTTTTTCCTTCGCTTCCTTTCTTTCTTTCTTTTTTTCTTTCTTTCTTTCTTTGCCTGATGTTTGATATTTACTACACTATCCCTTTTCTATTATCATGTTATTTTATCTATCTATCTATCTATCTATCTATCTATCTATCTATCTATCTATCTATTTAGCACGACTTTAGCAGGCCATCAATAGAAGGTGATATAACGCATTCTAACGGACCAAGTGTTATGGTTTCCATTTCTCATTCGGAGAGATCATGAACGTGCCAACTTCCAATCCGACACAGGAAATGAAAAAAAAAAAAAAAATAAAAATAAAAACAAAAGAAAAAGAAGCACGCCGTCAACTGAAACTGACCAAATGAATAGGAGAAACAGATTGCTGGTTCTGCTTATATCACACAAAGTTAATGGCGATGATATGCGCAAAGTTCCCCTCGTTTCTGATGGTCCTGGGGTTATTAAGAACCAGGGAAATTGTCCTGTCAGAACAGTTCTTTTGGGTGAGACTCAATGTCACCGACTACAACGACATGCTGGTCAAGATATAGATCGATGGGGGAGGCCGTACCAGTTCCAGCAGAATTTTATTTCCTGTCACATTTCAGTTGTGACCCAAGAATAGCTTGGTGATAATTTTCACAATCGCGTCACCCCACCCAATTGTGACTGGGACTCAATCTCATTTTAGTCAATAACGCTTTCAAAGTTTAATATATGGTTGCGAGATTTGTGAAAATTTATTTTCGGTTGAATATCTTATTATCTTTATATTAAAATTTTTCCAATTACCTGTCGAACCATATATATATATATATATATATATATATATATATATATATATATATATATATATATATCGGGGAGCACATGCAGCTTTTCTTTAGTAGGATACCAGAACATTTTGTAAGGAAGTTGCGATTGCCTTGGGACTTTGCACCTGTGGAGAAAGAGGCTGTAGGATGAAAGATATGTCCCCCCTACCATAAGGCTGCATGAGTGTTTTTGAACTCTGTCAAACCTAGAAAGTGACGAATGTACAGCTCCAGCTGTCTACCTTGGGTGACCCTCGAGCCTTGCATTGGGTAAAATTTAATGATATATATATATATATATATATATATATATATATATATATATATATATATATATTGTGACGGACGCAGATAGCCCAAACACGCATACACGCATATATTAAGGTTAATTTCCGCCTGACAACAGAAGAGGTCACGTGGAAGTATTGAGACATTTTGGGAAAGCAAGTCAAGAGGTTGACTGACCCAATTACCCGTAGCAACAGATGTCTAGACAGAAGCTGGACAGGGGACTGATATAAGTTGGAATTCGCGCCAAAACGCAGGACACGTGAGAGTTAGAAAATTACTTGGGAATCAGTTGCTGTCTTGTCTTTGAAGGAGCAAGACTCGAAATCGAAGCGCTGATAACTTATGAACGAAAGATGAGACTCATTTGATAATGACAGAACTTGTCCGATTCATCCCAGGCAACTCCGGACAAGAAATATAAGAACATGTATTTCTGTTCGATAACCCCAAATTGAAGACGATAACTCGCGTTATTTATCACAGAAGACGCAAAGGAATTTGTACGCTGAGAATACGCTGGTAAGGTTGTGGCCGCCAATGATGAATCCTGGTAGGATATCCAGTTCCCTCAGAATTGCCTCGCTGTATAGGTTGAATAAGTCCGGTGAGAAGACACATCCTTGCCTTACGCCTCCTTCTATTTTTGTATATTCGCTGAGCTAATTCTCGATGTGAATGCATGCCGTTTACTGTCAGTATAGATTCTTGATTATTCTGATATCTTTCCCGCATATATCAAGGTTGCTGAGCAGTTCTAGCAGTTCTCTGTCGAGTGCCTTTGCGTAGTCTATAAAACATAGATACACGTCCTTCTGCATTTGTATTGCTCTTTACGATAATATTCTAAACATGAATATCGCGTTCCTTATTCCGGTGTCTTTAACGAACCCGCACTGTTCTTGTTCTATCTCTGGCCCGATTCTGCTGCGTGCTCTATTCATCAGAATACGGATGATGAGTTTTGTGACGTGGCTCATAAGGCTGATTCTTCGGTGGAGCTCGCATTCGTTTGCGCCTGGTTTCTTATGTAATGCTATGAAAATAGATCTGCTTAGATCCCCCGGTACGTCCCCACTGTTGTAGATTTCCTGAAATCATATACTATGAAAATGCATGACAACGTGGGAAAAAAGTTTTCACGTGACGCATTTCGTCCTTTTGGATTTCATCGGACTAAATTTGTTATGTTGGCGCGACTACACATGTGCACGAACGAGGGATGCTGGGAATTTTGAGTTTAAATTAATTTTCTTATTTATTTTAATCCAGCCGATTTCAGTTAAATTCTTTTTCTTTTCGTTTCCATCACTGTTTTCATCAGATTATTACACACAGTGATAATAGATCTACCAGGAATGTTGATATGTTGTAAGAGCCCGGACACAAATTTACTGTGGATAACCTTGCGATCAAAGCACTCTCTAGCCATTTTCCTCGTATTCAATTATTTTCTCCTTTGATCAGAGTAACATTTTTATGTCAAACTTGTGGCCAGTCACGTTACAGTGGTCAACCAACGCATTTGATGTATTGTTTTGTAAAATGTCCCGTTTGTGTTCATGTAATCTTTTCTTTAGATTGCTTGAGGTTTCTCTTATGTATTTTTGTGACAATTATTACAGGCGAACGAATAAATTCCTCCTTCAATTTTTAGCTTATTGTTTTGTTTAGTTAATTGTTTAGTCTTTTATTGTTTTAGATGTAGTAGTAACAGATTTTATGTTGAGTTTAGATAAGTTCTTTTCAAATGTGGATGTGATAGAGTTAGTTGGTAGGACAATATATTTTTTTGATTTATCGTATTTATCAGGAATAAAAAAATTATATATAGTTACCTCTCTCTCTTTTCACACACACAAACACACACACGCACACACATATATATAGTGATTTTCTAAGCGCTGCTTAGATGTGGCACAAGGCCGGAAGTATGGAGCACCCAGAGAGGATCGAATTCACTATTCAGTCGTAATTGTTCTAGTGAGACAAGCTTGCTAACCCTTTACACCCCCCATATATATATATATATATATATATATATATATATATATATATATATATATATATAATAATACGAGGTGCTACCAAGGAGATTGGGGGACTTAAAGCTTGGAAATGCCTACTAACAATATGAATAAACATATAATGGCCGGCTGCTCTTTTTCAATTCCTGTTGCAGAAACAGGCTCAGGCACATTTGCGTCTGTTCAACACCCACAGAGTCCAATTGAGGGGATATTAGTTACCCTTTTTTGGGAGAAAGCGCATAATATACTGCGATCACTAGTCTGAATAAGGTGAGTACGTTCAAACCCTGGCTCACGATGACTTGTGATTTCGTGCCAGCACAACCCTCGACGACTTCCAAACAGTTTCGTTCATCCAATTTCACTCACAAGGCTTGGGTGAACCCGTGAGATGGTTTTCACCCAATTTCCAATGGTGTCGCGTTCACTCTCTTACCGCTATAACATACCTTTCCCGTGTCTTTCAATAAATATATTCACGGTAAGTGTTCTGTAACCTTTCCTCTTTGGTACATTGACTTCATGAATTTAAGCGCAGTACTCGATTGTCAGGTAGGTCTCAGAATTTATTGTTGAAATTATTAGTTCTCACCGTGTGTTCTATGTTAGTTTCTTCGACCTCACTTCTCGTTTGTGGAGCTCTGTTCCGGACTCCTGCTTTCCTGTCAAATATGATCTTAAAAAATTTAAATGCAACATCAATCGTCGTCATCTGTCTCCTCTTCTTTTATTGTCGTCTCTGTTTCTTTGCTTCTCAGTAACCTCTTGCATCTTAGTGGCTTTATCACCTTACTTGGGGGTGAAATGATTAAAAAGAGGCTGTTCACATCAAGAGGTCACCTTCCTGATATATTGACCGTGGTTAGATTCGAATATGGGATACCTAGCTACTTACCTACCTATTTACCTATATATATATATATATATATATATATATATATATATACATATATTTATTAAAGACATTGTTTTTTTTTTCAGGCCGGTAAATGTTATTTAATACTGTTTATTATAAACAGAGCATTTACTTAAATACTTGTATCTATAAAAAGAACGTTAAACATAAAAAAAAAACAAAAATGTCTTTAATAAATAAATTAAACTTTGTCCATTTCTTAATATATATATATATATATATATATATATATATATATATATATATATATATATATAGAGAGAGAGAGAGAGAGAGAGAGAGTATGTATCAAAAATAATTTTACAAACTTCATGGGCTGGTTCCTCACAGCAAAACAATGACAGATATCAATATAAACATATGTCCGAAATTTCCTCGTTTTTGAGTTATTAAGTTTAAAGGAAGATTACGGTAGATGGCGCTGTGTTGTCGTGTAGACTAGGTTACATTTGTCATTCGTGTACTTTTGTGGCTAGTCTGTCTTCAACGTTTAACTTGTGCCATAGTGAGTTAACTGACAAAAGTTCCGTCTATCCATTGTAGGATATGCATATCATGAGCAGGCAGATATGATTTTTACATACGGTCGTACGAATGGTAATGTACGCGAGGCTGCACGACTGTATCAGATTGCGTTTCCAGACCGAAGGCAGCCGAGTCATCCAACCTTTGTCGTGTTTATCGTCGTATTGTTGAGACAGGAGTCGTGGCACCACAAACTATAGCTCAAAGAAGACCGAGATCCGCTCGTACGCTTGGCCACTAAGAACACATTCTACTGGATGTCTGGGAAGATCCAGGTATAGCATGTCATACATTTCATAGTAACGAATGAGGGCGGGTACTTCGAAAGCAGCTCGTGTATTCGTATCATTTGCAACATGTACAGGATCTTTCACCCACTGATAACTCACCATGGGAGAACTTTTGTCTATGGTTTATTTCACAAAATTCCGATCCATTGTTTGTCTCTTCCGTCTTGTTTACAGATGAGGCAACATTTGGAAGAGATGGTATAACAAAATTACACAGCCAACATTTGTGGGAGGATCTTTGCTATGCTCTAAATAATATATATATCGAAAGTTAGAGAGGAAGAGAGAGAGAGAGAGATAGCTAGTGCTAAGTCAACTGTTAACTGATTCATGAGTTGGTGACCTCAGTAAAATTATAATTAAGTCTGGTAACCCTTGACTTTTACTAACTTACACAGCTAATAGCTGCATACATATACTGAACAAATAAATGTTCACATATGTCGATAAAATTAAAATATCTATAATACTGAATGAAATAGAGAAAAAGTACTTGTTTCTTTTCTCTGTATCTTACTTTTACAGTAACAGTTATTTTACTCTTTCAGATACCAAAATAAAATAGTTCAGTTCCCTATCAAATGTTTCATTAAAAGAATATGCTCATCTTTGTTATGCTCTAAATAATAGGATTTTTTAAATTCTTCTGTAAAATAACTAAAGAGAATAAACACAGATATTAAAAGTTGTTTGATCCTGGCAAACATTTTCTAAGTTCAAAACAAAAAGTTTTTTTTAAAATTTAAGAATGTTCTAAAATATTCTCAAGGTTAAAATAGTATAATAAATAATAATTATATTTATACAAAAATATAAAGAAATAAGAAAATAAAATTCAACAACATTAACATCATTTAATCCCTATCATTTATTAAGAATTAAATTATATCACTTATCACCCTCCATAGTTTACTTTTTCTTACTCAACCTTAAGAATATTTCAGAGGGTTATTAAATTTTTAAATTTTGAAAACTTAATATTTTTACACTATTTACATTATTCGGACTATTGTCCTCATCTTTGTCGCCATATTTATCACAACGTTTCGGCCGTTGTACGCTCCGGCCTTCTTCAGGTGGTTGGAATGTCGAACTGAACCCTTTTATTTCGCTCACCGGGGTAGACTGTTCTAGTTCCACGTGCCATGTTTAATGGATGTCAGTTATCAGTTATCTCCTGTTAATTTTCCCTCTGATATTTTCACCGGTTAAGGCAGTGGAGAACTTTCTGAGGGAAATTAGTAGGAGATAACTGATAACTGACATCCATCAAATATGGCACGTGGAACATGATTTTGGGACATGTGTGAGATGGTCGGCGAGACAAGGGAAACGCTACGAATTGTTTCCTTGACTATCTTGATAGCAAACCAATGCGCCTGGAAGGCAGCATTTCAGAATATCACTTCTCAGACTAATCAAATCTCAGTACATTTATGTACGAGTAAAATCAGCTGTAGACCTGCTTGATGGGGGACGGTAAAGGGGAGATACACAGTCGGAGATGCGTTTCTAGACAAGGTCATTTGAAAGTTACAACCACTGCGTCGATTCCCGACATTCTTTTCAGGATTTCATCCAATGTGCTTGTTTTGCTTCTTCCAAAACAATCCGTTGCTGACATAAAGTATCGGCTTTTCTTTCATCTGAAAGACAGATGAAACATTTCAGTTACTTTTTATAGAGAGTGACTCAGTTGTATATAATAAGGATTATTATTGTGATAAACTTGATCGAGGTTAGTCGGTTTTAACGTCATTTACTTTTGTACTCAGTTAATGTTTTTTTTATAGAATTATAATCACAAGTTTGTTCATACCTTAACAAAGACGATATATTTAAGCAATATTTGTTTTAGAAAATCATGGTAAAAGTATTTTTTTACAGCTGTTAAATCAACTTGTAAAATTTCGAAAAATTTTGATTCGAATATATTTTTTATATTAGTTAAAAGCAATAGTCCTTGGAGAATGTAAATCAATTTTTTTTTCAAACCGTTACTCATTTACCGAAAATCAGCTTCCGATCATTTTTTCTGCATCTTTAGCGACGGATCCTATGTACGAGTTCCACTTGAGATCAGGGGTGAGTTTAATAGACTCTCAATGGACGGAGCCTCCCCGAGGGGACATCCATTCATCCTGACTGGTGGTAGTTCAGTGTTTGATCGGCGACGATGGAATGTAATTAGTTATTTACATTTGCTTTTTTTCTATCTGCATTTATATACGTTACAAATAAATTTAAGCACAGGTGACTATTAAAAAATGAAGAATTTTCACGGATTTTGACGTTATACGGGGCTCTTTTTTTCCGTCCAAACCCGTGAATTTGTTTTGCCTATGCTAAGTCTCGATAAACCACCATATAAAATTGATTATTTTTTTTCATCTATAATGTTTAATGGGTTAAAATTATTCAACTTTTTAACAAGAAAAATCTCAAATTGATACTAATAATTGTTACAAAACATTGATTTTTTTAAAAGATGGAATGGCATGTCCCTAATTTGTATTTAAATATCTAGTATTTATTTCCAATTTTTCTACTTGAATTGTTCACCTATATTGAATACGATCCATTATCTCAATCTATAAAAGGCAGGATGTGTGTGTGTGTGTGTGTGTGTGTGTGTGTGTGTGTGTGTGTAACGAATGCACGGTCGCAATTTTCGACGGATTTGCACCAAAATTTACATGCACATGCTCCAAGTTAGCGGGAAGGCTAACACCGACTTTGTATTTCCCAAATCCCATCGATAGTGGAAATAATCGATTTTTTCATGCTTCTACGGCAGTTTTCATGTAGCTTGCGGCCTTTTCTACTGGCCAGAGTGAGAGCCTATAGCAGGCTGCCATGAATAGGCAGGAAGATTCTATTGGCTAGCGTGAGAGCCAACAGCTGACTGACACGAATATTAAAAAAAAAAAAAAATCGATAGCTGAATAGTGGGAAAAATTTAAATCTGCATGGCACTTTACTCCAGTTGGCTCATTCGCTTGCTTAAACTCAACGTTGATTCTGATTCTTCAGAACTGGGTTGGGTGTGAAAAAGTATTTGTTGTTAACATTCTTTTTTCATTCAGTTTTTCCAGTTACGAGTCCATTTTTAAAGCTGATCATTTTGTGTTCATTTTGTTTAGTTCTTTTTTGGTAACAGATTTAATGTTTAGTATAGAGCTTAGAAAAAATTCGCAGTGTGAGATAGGCAAGAAGTAAGGCATGTAGCAACATCAGCACGGCAAAGGGCACTCCTTTAAAGGCAAGCAAGGGGCAAAAATATTTAAAATCAAGTGATAGCGATTGCTGTATGAGTCGTACGATTTTTGAATCAAGCACGGGCAACGCCGGGCCATGCTGCTAGTTGTACATAATTATGTTACAATAAAATTTGTATTTTATATGAATACTACCTTATGAAAACTGAGATGTAGTAAAGTGGGGAGCCCTGTATCGGAGTGGTTATGATCCCCTTATACCAGCCCTGTCAACGACTATGCAATTATACATACATGCATACATACATATATATATATATATATATATATATATATATATATATATATATATATATATATATATTTACAATATGATGGACAAACATCGTATTACATAATAAAATCTCACACCACCAAATAATATTGCTCATGAAAACATTTATTATAAGATGATGGTATATTTATCTTATAAATAAAAGAATATCCTGAACATTTTACCAACATTGCTTGGTCAATTCCAATTTTGTTGTGAAAACATTAACTTGCATAATAAAATCTGAGAGAAAGAAAGAAAGAAGTTAAGCAAGGAGCGAACAAAGAAGAAAGAAAAAGGCGAACAGTAAGTGAAAAACAAAATAAAATAAAAGAGAGTGAAAGGAGGTAGAAATGAAAGAGAAAAAAAGAAAACGGAAATAAATGAAAGGAAAAGAAAGAAAGAAAGAGTGAAGTTGTAATTAAATATTAGTTAATAAATCAAAGAAAAAAGAAGTAGAAACAAAGAGTGAGAAGGAGAGAGATAAAAGATATAGAGAAAGAGATATAGATGGCGGGAGGATAGATAGATAGATAGATAGATAGATAGATAGATAGATAGATAGATAGATAGGCTAAAATAATGCGCAGTAAAAAAGAAAGAAAAGGAAAGGAAAGTATTAATAAAAGACAGAGATTAAAAAAAAATGAAAACAAAGAAATGAATTTTCGTATTCCGTAAAGCTGATCGTTGCAGAGTGACGAGATAGGCTGCATGCGATTGATATAAACCGGAAGCAGGTGACTAATGGCGTCAGATAATTCTGTGCCATTTGAGTGGCAGGTCGGGTAACGGGCAGGAAGAAAGGCAACTAAATACTCGAGCCGTTTTTGTTCCCACGCACATAGGAAAAAGAAAGAAAGATAGACAGAAAGAAGCTTCTGTCTTTTTAAGAATCTAGGATGGATCAGAGAGTATCGTCATTTTGTTACACCGATGACAAGTGCGTTAATGGCAGCCATGGCGATTTGTTTCTGATGCCGTTTGCTCTTAAGATTCTGGATATTTCCAGGGTCAGATGGATCTATCTATCTATCTATCTATCTATCTATCTATCTATCTATCTATCAGTGACTTCTTTCTTTGTTTCATTCTTACTTTCTTTCTTTTGTTATCTATCTATCTATCTACCTATCTATCTATCTATCTATCTATCATATCTATCTATTTCTATTTCTTTCTTTTTTTCCATCTATCTATCTATCTATCTATCTATCTATCTATCTATCTATCATACTGTTCTTTTTCTTTCACATTGTTTTCATCTATCTTTCATCTATCTATCTATCTATCTATCTATCTATCTATCTATCTATCACTTATTTCTTTGTTTCTTTATTTCTTTGTTTCATCCTTTCTTTCTTTTGTTATCTATCTATCTATCTATCTATCTATCTATCTATCTATCTATCAGTGACTTCTTTCTTTGTTTAATTCTTTCTTTCTTTCTTTTGTTATCTATCTATCTATCTATCTATCTATCTATCACTGACTTCTTTGTTTCTTTGTTTGTTTCATTCTTTCTTTCTTTTCAAACATTTTTTTTTACCGCGACTCATAGCAAAAATCACATTTTGCATTGCAAACCATTATACCTCCTTCTTTGATGTGCCCTAGGCGATCATGGCTTTCCACCTCGTCCTGTCTCTTGTAGATCTCAATAAGTTTTTTCTTTTTTGTTATTTCTCACAGACATTGTTCTGCTATCCACTTGCTTAAACTCGTTAAGTATGTCACTCGTTGCTTTCAGTTTGTCCCTTTTTCCCTCTATCCGCCCTGTGAGTATCAGATTTCTCAAGCCTTCTTTTCTCATTACGTGTCCCAGAAATTTCAGCTGCCTCTTCCTGGTGTTAAATATAAGTTTCTTCTTTGTTTGCATCCTCCCCAAAACCTCATCGTTGCTCACATGTTCGGTCCATTATCCCTAAACCAAAGACAAAATCTGGTTACTAGATTAATTTATTTAATATCGACAATTTATATGTATATTTCTTATGATCCGCACACATTTTGGTTTGCTTTGCTTTTCGGCATACCAACTTCAATGGGTTATTTAATGCCGACAAGATTTTTATTGCTGGTAATATTTTTTTCCAGAAATGTATTGCTGGTAATATTTTTTTCAAAAAATGTATTGCTGATAATAATTTTTCAAAAAATTATTGCTGGTATTAAAATCTATTTTTATACTTTCATAGTATTTTGACCCCTTTTGAGGGTTAACTATTTAACCATAGCTGAGACCCTGGCAGGTGCTACCATCCCTGGTAACATCAGCAATTAAGAGGTGGCTCCATGCTCTTCAAAACCTCCTAATCAAAGACCTTGATATCGGATGTAGTTTATAGTCCTACACAGAACGCGGATGTAGTTTATCGTCATACCCAGAACGGATATATTTTGTATGAATATAAAATTATTACTTTTAGAAAAACAAATTTAAAAGAAATTTCCTCTTTATATTAGGTGTCTCAAAAGAAGTCAATGTTTGCTTGCTAAGGTTATTGTTGTGGTAGGATCCACCTAATTTGCATAGTGGAGTACCGACCATATAAATATGGTTGGTACCTGGAAGAGAGGAAGGAATCAAGAGATTCAACCAGAGACTCTGCCCGACTGCGACTCAGTCAACACATTCTCCAGGAACGGTCTTACCAGGAATATACAAAAGACTATATGTAAATATTGTGTACACTTTCTTGTTTCAATACATTTTGTTTTAAGTACATTTTGTGTTGCATTATTATTCCATGCATTAGTCAAGTTTTAACAGTTATCATGTTTAACAATGTTCATGGAAGTTGCATTTTTAGATCTGTATCTGTTAATGTTGATAGTCCTCCTGTTCCTTCATCGTTCTACTTTTTTTTCCAATGATACAAGGATTCATTATTAAGGTTGTTTCTGAAATCTTCACATAGCACAAGTTACAAGTATTACAGGTACAAGTTACAAAAAAAACTACAAAAAAAAAAAAAACACACACACACACAAAAAAAAAAAAAAATCAAAACAAAGAACCGGTACTCGAATGCGGCATTGAGTTGAGAAATTCACTTTTAGACCTGACTTAACAGCGTTCACCGACAGAACGCACTGCACACCTTCGCAGCTAAGTTTTGGTGCGAGTTCGCTTTGTGAGAGAGAACTAACGTCACTTAGTCCACAACGTGTTTAACTCTCTCTTTCTCTCTACACATATATATATATATATTTAAAAAAATAAAATATAATACGTGCTTACCTCAGTGAAAAACTGGCGATGATTTATGAGTTGTGCAACATTTCGAGTTTATATTCTGCACTTTGCGCACACTTGCGTATTTTTTCTTTCTTTTTTTGTTGCGACCCATTTTATTTATCTCGCGACCCGCTGAAGATCTGGGACCCACAGTTTGAAAAACCCTGCTCTAGAGAATAATAGTCTACCTTACTATTTATCCTAAAACTAATGGTAGAAAAATGGATGAATGTCTTTTTCCAGTGCATTAGTGTGATGTAAACGCAGCAGTCTAGGCTAGGATTTGAACTCGATTCGCCACTTTCATATTCCGTAGCAATAAAGGCTGCACTAATCGCAGTTTTTTTATTATCTTATACTAGATCTAATAAAGAGTGTGGCAAAATACCTGGTAAGACATTAGTGACAATGGTGTTCGGCATCTTGTAAATGTCTTATCATTTCTCGTTCTTTCTTTCCCCATTGTTGCATCTATTTCTCTCTCTCTCTTTTCTTTCTTTCTTTCTTTCTTTCTTTCTTTCTTTCTATCTATCTATCTATCTATCTATCTATCTATCTTCTTTCTTTCTTATTCTGTTTTCTATATGGATCTGTTTATCATTCTTTTGTTTTGTTTTGTTTGTTTCTTTCGTTTTTCTTTCTTTCTTTATCTATCTATCATTGACTTCTTTCTTTGTTTCATACTTACTTATTTTTTTTTCTTTCTTTTGTTATCTATCTATCTATCTATCTATCTATCTATCTATCTATCTATCACTAACTTCTTTCTTTGTTTCAATCTATCTATCTATCTATCTATCTATCTATCTATCTATCTATCTATCTATCTATCGCACCATGTATAAATCTTTTATGTACTTTATACACTGTATAAAGTACATATATACCATGTACTTTATACTATAAATCTGTTAATATTAATTATAAACTCTACATAATATTAAATATTCTCGTTAATATCTTAGATCATTTTCGTTGAGATCTTCTTTTATCTACTTTCAGTGATCAACCATAATTCTTCACAATTCCCTTTCCTTTGTACTTCTTACCAATGTTTGTCTTTTTACTAATCGCAACCACACTCCTTGCTCTTTCTTTCATTTACGCAACATCTTTAGGTCAAGTTACACATTCTTTCCCTCTGTCTCAATTGCCTTTAATATGGCCTGTGAGTATCAAATTTTCCAAAAACATTTTTTCGTCATTATATGTCTCAGAAATTTCATTTCTCTCTTTCTCATTTACGTATGATTGTGTTTTTAGTTTCCGTTTTCCTTAAAGCTTCTGCGCGTTTCACATGTTTCGTCATTCTCATCATCCTTCTGTGCAACCACATTACTGTTCATCTGTGTCAAAATTGAATAACATTCACTGCCACATATAGGAATCTTGTTATTACATAATAGCTCAGCACAGTTTTCTTTGTTTGTAATGGAATTTTCTTGTTTCTTAATACTTCGCTTAACTTTTGAAAGGCGTCTTTTGCTATTCCAATGCAACTTCGAATTACGGTGTCACTTTTTCACGCCATCCTTTAAAATACTTCCCAGATATTCAAGCTTCTCTACTTGTTTGATCACCAATTCGTAGATTGCATTTTCGGCTATTTCCCTTCTTTTATAATTAAGGTTCACCCAATATAAGACCCAAGGACCACTCAAAGTAGAGGATTACTGAAGAAGCTTATTATCGGTAAGAGTAAGAGGTAAGGAGTGCAGTTCATGAGGATATGTTAAAAAGATAACGGTAAACACTAGACTTGAAGAGGTTGAGATTATAGTGATCGGGATAAAGACCCCTTGAGAGTCTGTTTCACAAAGTAGCAATTCCTCGGAAGAAGCTGTCTGAGTGGAACTTCTTCCTTCTTCGTTATTAATGGAATACAAAGTGAATGGGGATGATTCGTGATATGGCAGGTCTTAGCTGTGAAGGTCTGAACTAGTGCAGCAGCGCGTAGAACATTTGCCATGGAAATAGCGATAGAGTAGTGATAGGCTTGTGAGGTTTCGTCTGTGTGAAAGGCGTTTGTAGGGTGGAAAACAATTCATCATCCACAAAGGTGCTCAAACGATTTTGATCTCTATCAAGACTGGAATGTGAGGGTTGGGCAGCTCCAGCCCATATATATATATATATATATATATATATATATATATATATATATATATATATATATATGCGCAAATTAACTGAAACAAAGCGAATAATTCCGTTATTATTTACTTTTATATATAAATATTCTGTTTATACGTTATTTTTATAGATACAAATAATTAAGTAAATGCTCTGTTTATAATAAACAGTATTAATTGTTTTTTTTACAGTAATTTGACTTCGCTAACCAGACGCTTCCTTTGTAGCTAAATGGTATAGCCCGTCAGGCTACATGACGGTTCAGTGTAGGACATAGGTTCGATTCCTGTTGGAGGACTCCTATTTTCCTTGAGATTTGTCGGACAATCAGACCCGTAAATGTTATTAGTACTGTTTATTATAAACAGAACATCTACTTAAATATTTGTATCTATAAAGATAACGTAAAAACAGAAATTATATTAAAATAATTGTCGGACTTAGTCCATTTCCTATATATATATATATATATATATATATATATATATATATATATATATATATATATATATGCGTGCGTGCGCCAGTGTCCCTTGATTTAAATGCGAGAAAGATGTCAAATTATGTTGTAACTTGAAAGTTCGACGGCCTTTCACACTAGAAAGATGGAATCACCTCAATTTCTTTTACATCCAGTGTGAGTCTGCCTCACACTCCTTAAACTTAGTAAATATTTTTGGAGGTCGGAATTAACAGAGAAAGAAAAAGAACGTAAACGAAGAAAAATATTTAGAAATGGTGCTTGTGAATTTCAACACATATCCGACTGGGGTCAGTTTAAACTGACACCTTTTTTCATATATTGTAACATTTTGTTACAATATATGTATAACAGTGGGGAGCTATGGAAGAAAGATATAGTTTTCCCATTTGTATTTACCCCATTATGGGAATTATCATATCCATGATATAATAACACTGCATTTCAAGGACTGAACAGAATGTCTGAAAGGAAAAAGAATGTCAAACATGCTTTGTTTCCAGAGAGACTTTTATGCCACTAAGAGTTACACAAAACATATTTTTTATTAATATAAACAAACGCCAGACTGCCATAGTTCTCGATTTCTTTAATGAAGAGCGTTGCGTTAGCGGAGACGGCTTCTGTTTAGAATGACCCTCTTTCTCAACAGTGCCCAACCGAAATTATCGAGAGCATAAGCAAACAGTGTCTAAGGTAAGTATAAGAAATATTCATTATTTCCTCAAATTTAAATTTGTTACAGCAGACTATAATTTGACATTTATCAAAATTGAAATGCGTGGAATTAGAAAATTATTACCACAAATTGTAACGGGACAGAAAGATCTATTCTTCCCATTTTTATTTCCCCCATTATGGGCATTATTATATCCATGATATAATAACACCGCATTTCAAGGGCTGAACAGAACAGCTAAATGGAAAAAGAATGACAAACATACTTCCTTCTCAGAGACACTTTTGTACTACTAAGAAATACACAAAAATATATATATATATATATATATATATATATATATGAAGAAATATAGTTTTAAGATGTGCTATACTTATGAGATAAAGTGATCAATATCAGAGATAGACCGTATGTAAATTTAAATATAAAAGTGAACATTTAAATCAGCACTCAGAGGCGGCAGGCTGTTTGATGCAATCGTCAGGCTGCCTGAAACAGCCTGCCGCCTCTGAGTGTTGACTTCAATGTTCACTTTTTTATTTAAATATATATATATATATATATATATATATATATATATATATATATATGTATGTATGTATGTATGCAAACTTCATTAAATATGACAGACAAGGTCCTTTGAGCAAGTTTTTTATATAATTTCTCATATGATCTTAATGTTTTGTTTTCGGTAGATAAATTCTACAAAAACTGTTTTCCAAGCGATTTCGGCTATACATTTAGCCGTTGTCAAGGATGAAATATATTTACTATTGACTGGAAATGGATTGTGGGATGTATGCATTTAGTATTATAGCATCTTTTATTTTCAAAACACAGTCAACATATTATGTGCAGTTTTTGTATAATTTATTTACTGAAAAGAGATCATATGAGAAATTAAATAAAAACCTAATCAAAGAATTTTGTCTACCATAAATAATAAAGCATGAAAGAAGGATTGCTATCTGAATACACAATATATATATATATATATATATATATGCATGTGTGTGTGTGTGTGTGTGTGCGTGCGCGCGCCTGTGTGTGTTTGTGTGTCCCGCAGAGAAAAATATATCATATGTATCTACACAGAATGCAAGGAGAAACAAAAAGGAAGGGTTTTACATTTAATATGGAGATACTTCTGTGTCTGAAGAAGCCATGTTTAGGACACTAGATTCAAACGAGTCGGATTCAGGCGAATATATATTTTACGAAGGAGAAACTGCGAGTATTGGGTTTTCCCAATTTGAGGACTGCTAGCTGGAGTTTGTTTCTGTATCTTGGAAAAATGTATTCCCAAAATGAAACGACACCATGGACTCGTATGCTGCTGAGGAGGCAGATTTAGCCTTAGCCCTGGCCTAGGTAGGGGTGGAGCTATAGAAAGCAAACTTTCTGTTTGGTTGGTGTAAACAAACTGAGATTGACTGTCGCTGTAGTCACTGTATGGAGTGACGTCACTAAGCAACTGTCAAGCGAGTAACGTAACTTATCAACATCAAAGGGAGATAAGCGCCTTCTATATCCCTACATATGTATAATTCTTATTTTCTTGAATATAAATTTTAAAAAATTAAAAAAAGTAGTTCGTATTTTCTTGAATTTAAATGAAGACATGGAAAATTTCCAAAATATTTTAGATAAATTTTCATTTAAAAAAATCATAGTTTATAATTATAATTTAGAGATATAAAAAAAAAAGACCTCAGAAAGATAAACGTAAAAAAAAGCTTCTGTTTAAACTGCCTCCAGAATGACACTGGCGCCATCTTTTTTTCCATATATTATGACCATTTTTATGACGTATTTTGTTGATTTGAGATTAAAAAGAGATTTGGAAATTTTCCAACATTTTAATGAGATTTTCACTTTTAGAAATTATAGTTTAGATTTAACTCTTTTAGATCTTTTTTTTTTTTAATGCAGTTGTTTCCCACGGTTCTATCCTTGAGCCTAAGTCATTCCTAATTTTCATCAATGACCTTTCTGAGGTCATCTGCTCTCAGCTCGGTATCTATTTTGATGACACAACTGTTGACTCCTGCCTTAATATTAAGTTTGATCGGTTCAAAAAGGTCAAATTGGCAGCTAATATAAAATATTATCGACAATCTGTTATTAACTGGAGCAAGGAATGGCTTGTTAATTTTAACGCCTGCAAAACGAAACTGCTTTCTTTTAATCACCTGGGAGAAGCCTTTTTGCTATACATCAGCATAGCTGATGCTAAATTCCAGGAGAGGGACTCCTTGTACCTTCTCGGGCTAACGTTTTCCGATAAATATTATACTGAATCGTTTGTTAGGTATGTTGCTAGAAAATCTGGTACACTGTCTTGTGCCAGAAAAATTTTCTCTCCAGAATCTATACTACATATTTATAAGTTTACTATTCGTACTCGTTTTGAATATTGCTGCTACATATGGAAATTCTTGATAAAATCCAAAGACGAATCTGAAATGTTATTGGTCCTGATCTGGCATCTCGGATTTAGTCGCTTACCAACCGCCGTAATGTAGCTGTCCTGTACCATTTCTATA